CAGGTTGTACACCTCAAACCTAGTGCACTCAAAGGTTCCTCACAATTTTCTCACAACCAAGATGATTTTCTAACTGTTGTCCACGGAACAGCCTAATGTCAAGGAAAACACACAACTTAGAAATTAAGCACACACACACACACACACACACACTACATTACTCTCTGCTTACTTCTTTTTCAATCAGTGAACAAATGTGTCCACTCTGACAGGGGATATACTACCAAACATACCACACAAAATCCTGGGCAGGAAAGGGATCAGTAAGGAGGAGAAGCAGCTGCCTAGCCATGACAAGACAACATGGAGGTCAATTACCTCGTCCATATTCTGAGAGCTGAGGGGGCTCACAGAGTGGATATTGACATTTGAAGTGCCTGGGTTCATGGAATACTCAACCAGCAGCAAGTCTCCCTTGAAAGGTCTGAATGCTAAAACAGCCAAGAAAGTGAGGATTAAATATCTATACAATCAGGTCACAATTCCTAGGCCCTAAGGGGTTCAGTTTGCATGAAGATTCTTTTAAGGGCCTTGAACAATTAAGATAGGTATAGCCTAATGGGCAGTTGGTTATATAATCTTAGGAATGTATGTGGTGTTTTTACAATTGCAAATTAGACATGACAAAGGGGGACTAGGCAATACTGTTTAAAACTTTCCTGGCATTATTTACCATGTGAATGCAACCACTAATATCTCTATATGGTTTTTATTCATCAACTGTTTCTTTAGTTTTTCTTTTTAAATTTTTGGTTGTTCAGTTAGGTTTCTGCAGAGTGATTTAAAGCTCACCATGTTTCTACAAATTGTCTTTAAACTCAAGAAACCTTAGCTTCAGGCTTCTGAGTGCTGAGATCTGTAGACTTTTGTTTCTTTTTTGAAACAAGGTTTCAAAAAGTGTTGAGACCAAAGGCATACACCACCATCCCCATGCCGGGGCACTTTCTCAATTGATATTCTCTCTTTCCAATGGACTCTAGCCTGTGTCAAGTTGACATAACAATTAGCTAGTACAGTGAATCAGTATTTTTCAAGAATGTTGCTACTGATAGGTCCACCATGCTCCAGTGGAAGGCCCCACATCCACAGATGTATAGGCAGTGCAAATTGGATTTTATCAGTGGAAAAAGAAAGGGCACAAAGTTGGATGGGTAGTGAAGGGGGTGAATATGGGGGAGGAGAAGACTATGGTTAAAGTTCATTGTATAAAATTCTTGGGGAACTAAACAAGATATAAAGCAAACCTCCAGAAAGAAGGTGTACGGGGAAGAAGGTTTCCTCGCTGATATAAATGCTGTCCTGTGTTACAGCAGTAACACACTTAATGCAAAGTCTTTTGTCAACTTCCGATGGCTCAATACCATAAATAGGATCAGACATGGTTTTCACCTATAAAAGATGATGAGACAATGGCTGCAGCTAAAACAAGAATCACAGGCAGGACTTTTGTATATGTGTCAATGATTCACCATCAAAACAATGGCAATTTAATGAGTTGGTTTTTTCATAGTTGTAAGGACTTTTCAGACATAATGACTCCTATGTCAGAGACAAAGTACTTTACTATTCACATCAAAACAGCCCTCATTTTATCTTTTAAATGTCAGCTGTCAACACAACCATGTACTTGAAAAGATGCATAAATTGTGCCTGTCCTTATTCAGAGGATTTCTAAGTGTATTCCAAAAATAAATTGCGTACTTATGCTCATAGCCTTAGTTTCAGAAATTATAAATGTTCTGTATGATGACTCTACACTGAACTACAGACATATTGTGCCTGGAATAATTTTGGAATTTTCCCAGCAAACTTTTTTCTCCCAGTTCTCATTTTTTTTAAACCTAAGAAATACCATTAATCAGGCTGGACAGATGGGACGGAGGCTAATGGCACATTTTGGTCTTCCAAGGGGGCCTGAGTTTGATTCCCAGTACCCACATCAGGCATAGTACTGTTAAGTCTATCACTAGTGCCTCTATTCTCTGTAGGCATCTATACATGGGTGACATGCACTCACAGAGACACCTGTAGCTAGGTGGTGGCAGCACACTTATTTAATCCTAGCACTCAGGAGGCAGAGGCAGGTAGATCTCTGTGAGTTTGAGTCCAGCCTGGTTTACAGAATAAGTTCCAGGACAGCCAGGGCTAGACAGAGAGATCCTAGATCAAGGAATAAAAACAGATAGGGAGACAGAGACAGAAACAGAGATAGACAGACAGACACAGACACACGGAGAGATATGTGTATACACGGTTAAAATAAAACAAATCTTTAAACATAGAAATACCATGAACACAGAAAAGAATACAAATAGATTATAAGGCTTAAGAAAATATCTCAATATACTGTTGCCCTTCCTAAAACGAAGTGCTCTAAGTGGATGACCCAGTTAATGGCACAGGACCACTAGCTAGCCAGTTACAAAGCAAATTGTGGATCCTTGTCTTAGAACCTTATGTCAAAATCAGGGTGTCTGAATATTTACATTTCAATGTACATATAGCTTTTAAAAAGAAACAAAACTCAAACAAGGCATAGTATTTGAGGCTTATAATGCCAGCACATTGAATGAGCAATCTAGGAGGTTGATTACGCCTTTGAGACCAGCCAAGGCTACATAAGGAACTTGAGGTGTGTAGTGTACAGATTGAGACATTTTCTCATAAAATCAAAAATAAATAAATAGTAAAACAATTGAATGTCTGTGTAAATGATGAATTGACATTAGGTTTACAATCTTTTCTAAAATCAAAAAATAAAGACACAATGAGCATACTTACAGTGTATTAAAATTACACATTAAAATCAAGAAAATGTAGTATTAAGTAAAAGCACAGAAAGAAAGAAGCACAATTTTCCTAACAAAGATAGATATTTTTCCTAGCATGGAAAAAACTATTATGAGTCTAACTAATGAGAGGAGCAAAAAGAGTAAAGTGCTACTTTATCAATAAGATGTGAAGAAATTCAGTGCGTGAAGTGATTACCGTGCAACCCATAGGACATGAATATTGGTTCCCAGCACCCACATAAAACGTAGGGCATGGTGAGGCCCATCTATAACCTCAATACTGAGAGGGAGAGAGAGCAGGATTCAATAATTTTCTGAACAGCCAAAATAGCCAAAATAGTAATCTCCAGGTTCAATGAGAGACTGTCTCTAAACATGAGGGGGAGAGTAACTGAGAATGCATACCACCTTTGAACTGTGGCTGCTACACATGCACACACTCCACTCCGCCCCACACATTTGTAAGCAACAACAAAAAGGGAGTTTTAAAATAGTATGAATTCACTTTTAGTTCTCATTTAGAGAGTTATTCTATAATTATCATCATCATCAATGTTTACCAATACAGCCAAAAGATTTTTATATAGACTGTTATTGAGATAATCAATTTGAACTATATAGGTGAAAATAATTTAAAACAAGCCGGTGATAAGTAAACACTTGGACAGTCATGGTGTTTACAGAACTGTATCTTCCAAAGTTTTATAAAAGAACTTAGAATTTGTAATGTCTTAAATATATCTTTATCGGTATGTTAACGAATATGAGGTACACAGAGTTTGTCATGCTAATTCTACTAGGTTGAATGCATAAAAGAAAGTGTCTTTTTCACTAAGATGAAAGTTACAGGGTTAGACAGAGTGATTATTCAATATGTTGTTCAAATACTTGGAGAACTGCCACAAAAGTTTTAGGAACTGGAAAAACATCGCGACAACCAAATATTACAACATAAAATCTAAGCTCACAGGAGAATGTCAATTTTCACCCTATATTCAAAACAATGTTTATCTCAGACCAAGAGGAACTATCAAAATCCCATTACTACAAGAGAAGCTTAGCAAACTCAGTCTTACCTTGATGGTTTTCAATGCATGGTTTGTTTCGTCTTCTTCCACAAGAGCAATGACATTCATTCCAATAGTCAGTGGAGCATTGCCACACACCACATCAACACTGAAGAATATGGATTCATTAATCCAGCCATAGTCATTACACAGAGAGGTCACAACTCCCTGAATAGACTTGAACTTGGAGTTATCTACAAAACAGGTAAACAAAGGTCATACTGGTTCATGTCAAATGCAAGCACCCACTACATACAAGTTCTACTCTGAACACCCTTGTAGCTAGGAGCACATAGCATCACTCCTCTGACCATAAGACAACAGCCATCACTGCATCCTAAGGTTGCGACTCCAGAATGGCACCTCCACGACATCTATTTCAGCTGTGGGTGACCCATCCCAGTGAAAATGCAAGTGCTATGTTCATCTACCTGCTCAGGAAGCCCCTTTAAACTCCCACTGTTACTAGTATATGTCTGACTCAACAGCAGCAGCCAATGGGTAGCCTGAGCCCTAGATTCTCCAACATCCCTTCTGACAAAGCAGTAAAAGATATGTGCAGATGTAAGGACCCGTTGCCAAATTTTCTTTTGCTCTTCATAAGTCTTATGGGTAAGTAATGTTTGGGGATCTGGTGCCAGTATCCTGCAGGGACAACTGGTCACCGTCCTCTATAGTGCCTTCCTTACACCCTGCCTCCTGGCTTCAGATACATGTGTTCATGGAAAACAAGGCTGAATTCACTCTCAAAGTGTGATGTTCCGTTTCTCTGGGGGATAACCAAAGACATCTTTCAAGGGCAAGATGCGAAGGCAGGGACAGTACAGCCCACGAAGACTTGTGTCACGTGTTCTGTGAGTTGGTCCAAACAGCCTCCGCTTTGGCATACCAGAGGTGCTTGGCGCCCAGCTCAGTACTGGCCTAACTTGAAAACTCAGGAACATCTACATCAATGGCTACTCAGGATGGCGGCAGGTCCCTCTCGGCTCTTTGTGCCCCACCGCATCTTAAGGTGGAGGAAAGCCTTTCTGAGGAGTCTCCTTGGGTGGGGTTGGGGGTGGGGTGAAAAGCAGACTCTCAGAGGCATACCTTGAATCTGTAGCTTTCCTTCAGGCTCAGTCTTCCTCCGAAAGAAGGTTAAAATCCGGTTCAGAATTCTCTGCATAGCGATGTGCAATCAGAGGCCTGGGCAACACCAATGCCTTCTGACTATGCTTAAAATCGCTTTTCAAGTTCGTCTCTTCAGCCTCACTGAGACTGCGGTCAAGGAAAGACAAACCAAGAACAGGGTACCTCGAAAGCGGCTTCCAGATTTCTTGTCTGTGCTCTCTCCTAGGAGAACGCTAGAGGACTCTCTACTTTTGACTGTCTAGCCAATGAGGTTCAACAGTGTCACTGCCAAAGCCAATGAGAGGCACGGACCTGGGAAATTTAGCTCCACCCTCTTGACACGAATTAACCAATAGAAAAGCCTTCGGAAAAATCCCGTATGTTGGCCGTTAGTACGGGTATTCAGTTTGAGTGTGTGACTACGCATTTAGTGTTTTTGCTTCACTAAGTTTTGGTCATTTTTTCCCCTGAGTTCTTTGGGTGAGAGTTTATTGATTTGAGATGATTCCTCTTTACTATTGCAAGCACTTAGGTCTGGACATTCCTTGGATCACTTCTTGTACTGTAGTCCATATATTTTAATTACTTTTAACATTAAGTATATGAGAACTATCTTTAATACATTTTTCACTCAATAGATTATAAGTGTATCCTTAATATCCTTTATAAAAATTCTTTGAATTCTTCTTTACATTCCCCTTTTTTGGGTTGTTTCTTGTCTTTTGTGCATTGATTTTTTTTTAAAATTGGATATTGATCATCAATTCTTTTACATTGGGACAGTAAGAAACTTATTTAAATATTTCATTTTATCAGAGAGTTATCCTGATTTACTTTACTGTGGAAGATCTTTATTTCTCTTATGGAAAATTTTTTCGGTATTAGCTGATTATTAGCCTCATTTGATACTAATTTGGTCTCTGGTTTCTCTGATCCTGATGTTTTTCTTTGGGTCTAAGCAGGTATTATTTGAATGAATGGAAGATAATTTTCCAGCATAGTGTTCCCTCATTAGGAATGGAGGAATATCATGCCCATGGAGACAGAGAGATTTCATAGGGCTAGTAATACATTGTAAGTGTTCCCTCTTTTAAGTCTTTTCTCTTTTTTTCTGTTTTCTCAGGAGAGAGAGAGAAGGAGAGAGAGAGAGAGAGAGAGAGAGAGAGAGAGAGAGAGAGAGAGAGAGAGAGAGACAGAGAGAGATTCTAAAGAAGCCTTCTAGTATATTGCTCTTGGTGTGCCTGGGACTTTCTTGCCAATGGTGCTCATATACATTGGTTTCTGTTAGCTATACTTGCACAGATTCTCCAGCTCAGTATGAAGAGTGCATACTTATGGCAGCTTACTCTGGAGAGACCCCTTGCTGATGAACTATGCCAGTTGTGTTTGTTTGGACTGATGAAGTCAGAAGGTCCTATTCACGATGGAGAAACAATAAGCCTACCCACACAGAGTTTTGGCGATATTTTGAAAGTTGAAAATCTGAGTGTGAATGACCCTTCTCTGAAACTGCCTGAAGTAGGAAGTGTATAGGAGTTCTCAATGGAGGAGATGAAGGGGTTTGCAATCCTATGAGGAGAGCAACAATACCAACTAACCAGAACTCCCAGGGTCTAAACCACCAGCCTGGGAACACACATGGAGGGACTCATGGCTCCAGCTGTATATGTAGGGGGGGATGGCATTTTGGGGCATCAGTGGGAAGACTCCAGCAGTATAGATATGAGAGAACGGCATTGTTGGGCATAGGTGGGAGAGGAAGTCCTTGGGCCATGAAGGCTGCATTGGCCCAGTGTGAGAGAATTCGAGAGCAGGAATGTGGGAGTAGGTGGGTGGGGACACATTCTCATAGAAGTGGGAGGAGGGAGACGGGATAGGGGGTTTCTGCATAGGGAGGAATGGAGAAAGGGGATAACATTTGAAATGTAAGTAAATAAAATATACAATAAACTACACAAAAAAGCACAAATTTAAATTATTTATTAAAGTTAAAATAATTGAAAATTAAATTAAATTAAATTAAATTAAATTAAAATGTCCTGTATACTGACTGCTTGTAGCACAAGGTACTTTTACTCCTTACGACAGATGTTCACAGTCACATCTCTAATAACAAGAAGTCCTATCCACATCATTTTATTACAAGAATCATTAAGCTGGGGCTGGGGAGATGGCTCAGAAGTTGAGGGCACTTGTTTATCTTGTAATAGAACTCAGTTCAATTAGCAGCACTCATATGGAGACTCACAGCTGTCCATAACTTACAGTTGCTGGAGCTATGACAACTGCTTCTAACCAACAGAGGCACCAGTGATATATATGATCCTTACATATACAAGAAAGAAACACACACACACACACACACACTGTTTTTAAATGAGGAAAGGATATCTAAACAGGGATTTAGGCAAAAAGACATATAAAGAAACATTAGGAAATATGATATGTAGCTTTATCTATATAAAGCAAATACACAACAAAGCACAATAAGAAATATTCATAAGAATGAGTACATAGTTGAGCATGGTTGCAAACACAGGAATTCACAGCACTTGGGTAGAGGAAGATAAGAACTATAAACTGCACTGTAGATACATAGAAACTCTCAAATTCGTTTGAAAAGAAAAGAAAAAGAACAAGTAATGAACACATGGATCAGTAGTTAAGAGGAAGAACGATTCTTTTTTTTCTCTTGCAGTTTGTTTATATAGTGGATTACATTGTTGGGTTTCTTAATTTTGAACCATCCCTGCGCTCCTGGGATAAAGCCTACTTGATCATGGTGGACGATTGTTTTGATGTGTACTTGAATTCGGTTTGCGAGAATTTTATTGAGTATTTTTGCAGCGATATTCATAAGGGACATTGGTCTGAAGTTCTTTCACATTGTTGGGTCTTTGTCCGGTTTAAGATATGAGTGACTTCATAGAATGAATTGGGTAGTGTTCCTTCTGTTTCTGTTTTGTGGAATACTTTATAGAGAATTGGTATTAGGTCTTCTTAGAAGGTCTGATAGAATTCTGCACTAAAACCATCTGGTCCTGGGCTGTTCTTTAATTTTTTGTTTTTTGTTTTGTACAGTTCTTAATTTTGGTGGAGAGATTTTTGATGACTGCTGCTAATTTTTTAGATGTTATAGAACAATTTAGATGGTTTATCTGATCTTGATTTAAATTTCCTAGACTGTACCTGAAATCCATCTAGGAAATTGTTCATTTCATCCTGATTTTCCAGTTCTGTTGAGTATAGGCTTTCATGGTATGAAGTGATGAGTTTTTGAATTTCCTCAGGTTCTCTTGTTATGTCTCCCTTTTCAGTTCTGATTTTATTACTTTGGATACTGTCTCTGTGCCCTCTGATTTGGTTGGCTAAGGTTTTATCTATCTTGTTGATTTTCTCAAAGAACCAGCTATAAATACCTGCTGAATTCATTTGGTTCATAACTTCTCTTACTTTCACTGTGTCTCTGTTTAGATTCTGTTTCCATGAAACAGTTGTCCACTTCTGAGGGGGGGAGGTGTTGAAGTCTCCCACTATTATTGTGTGAGGTGCAGTGTGTGCTTTGAACTTTAGTAAAGCTTCTCTCATGAATGGTGGTGTCCTTGCATTGGGAGCATCGATGTTCAGAAATGAGATTTCATCCTGTTCGATTTATTTTTTGACAGGTATGAAGTGTCCATCCTTATCTTTCTTGATAACTTTTGGTTTAGAGTTGATTTTATTCGATCTTAGAATGGATACTCAGGGTTCTTTCTTGGGACCATTTTCTTAGAAAATTGTTTTCCAGCCTTTTATTCTGAGGTAGTGTCTGACTTTGTCACTGAGGTGTGTTTTCTGTATGCAGCCTAGTGTTGGGTCTTGTTTAGGTGTCCAGTGTGTTTGTCTATGTCATTTTATTGTGGTTTTATTGA